ATGTATTATGAATTAGTATTATTATTATCATTATTGCTTTCATTGATATCTCAGACTATCTGTATTAAATGGGATCAGAAGGTGGCCTTGTCTAACTTAGCACCAAGTACAGAAAGGTGTCAAATAATATTTGCTTATTTTGGGGGATAAAGAACTTTCTTTATGGAATCCCTTGAAGCTTCCCACACTTGTCCTCCACTGTGATGTGGACCTTTCTGATTTCCCTTCAGCCCAGTGTTAAAGAGTCTTTACTTCATGCTGAGTTAAGATTTGGCCCCTACGATTCCTACCATTTATCTTAGGAGATGAGTCTTCTTTTTCTTTTACTATTGCTTTTTAAAACAAGCAAGTATTATTTGATACCTTTCTGTACCACTGCTAGTGAGAGAAGAAAAAGATGATATTGTTCCTGTATTTAAGAATCCTACCTTTGAGGGAAGGTAGGGGAGGGTGGGGAGAAGGGGGAGAGATCAACCAAAAGACTTGTGTGCATGCATATGATCCTAACCAGTGGTTATGGACAACAGGGGTACCGGGGCCTGCATAGGGAGGGGTTTGGGATAGGAGTTGGGGGAGGGGGGAGGACAAATATGTAATACTTTAATCAATAAAGAAATTTTAAAAAAGAATCCTATTCTTTGAAGAAATTTCCATTTACTTTTGTTGCTCATTGTTAAGAAACAAACCAGGTGATAAGACATGTTTAAATATACGTCAAAGTAGAGAAAATTAACGAAGAATGAATAGTCAGAGAAGGTTTCTGAGGAGGTATGTTAAAGGATAAGCATTTATTTATACATTCTTTTGTTTATTAATCAATTAGCTAATTTAAAAACATTTAAACCTTTATTGACAATCTATGATATGCCACATCTGTGAGTCAGAGTTTACCAAGTAATTAAGATGGCAGGACAGGCAGTCCAAGGTGAGGAAATTCCAAATACAAAGATACAGAGATATGGGAGGTATGACAGTAAGTTATGTTAGGGACTTAATTTGCTCATATAAATAAAACATAGGCACAAGGAGGGAGAAATGGCTGATGATGCTGGTATTACAGGGTGATCTTGAGGAGTGTTGTGAGCCAAACTACAATTTGAGGAAGCGGAGTTGTTTGGAGAGTTTTAGGGTGAGTACTGTGTGACCAGATTTTTTTGGAAGCAGGAGGTAAAACTCTGAGTGGCAAGGGGAGAAAGGTAAGTGACAAGATGCTACAGGGACCTTGAGCACAGACTTCAGAGTTGCACTAGTCTATGTCTGCTACAGACTCTGCTGCTTACTAACATTGCAACCCTGGGGAATTTTATCTTTCTGAGCTTCTATTTTCTCATCTGTGTAAAACAAATGTTAATAGCCCCTACCTCAGAGAGTTATTGCAATGATTAAATGATAATGCATATAAAACATTTAACACCATGCCTGAGTCAGTGAAAATATAAAAACCAAAAGAAGAGAAAACCAGCAGTGCATTCCAAATGAGGGACACATTTCTCCCACACACTCCCAGCCCTCTTTTCTTTTATTCTTTGCATTGCTTGAAAGTCCTCATGAATTTATCCTGCTGAGTCCTTCTCAAATGGGTTTTTGTTTGTTTCTTTAGCAGGGTCTGGAAAATCTAAGCCCTGAGCAACATCCCAGCTTCCTTGAATGATTACCCCAGGGCCTATTACCTTCACTCTGTCTGCAAATCAGGTTAGGCATCTGACCCACTCAGGAGGGAAGCTGAGACAGCTGTAGGAATTAGATGAATTCTCCTGATAGCATATAATCAGATTTGGTGTTTATGGCAGGTTCTCAGAGTCAAGTTACTAAACTTGGCTGGAATAGGAGAAAAGTAAGGTGATTAGATTTAAAGCATGGGCCCTGATCAGATATACTAGTAAATGAAGACTTAAAAAGATCAGCATCATAACCTGAGGGACCTATGACTATAGAAATCCCTTGGGAATGAAGGCTTGCTCACCTTGTGCTCTAGGAGACTCAGACTCACATCTCTGAGTCAGGGCTTGAAGTGACTATCTCAGACCTTTGGCTGGAGACATCAAAGCCACTTTCACTAGCAATCTCCCTGCATACAACTCTGGAACCCTGAGACTAGCTTATTCCAGCAACTTCATATTCCTGCAGGTTAAATCACATTACAAATGTAGACCATCATCTATTCTCCCTGTTCTCTCTTTCTTCAGCTTACTTCTCTATCCAAAACTTTCCATTTTCCCCTTTGAGGCAGCTCCATGGTTAATCATCTCACTTGTATCTTGTGTTTTAGTCCACTGCCTACCTCTTATCTTAACCAAATCATGCTTGGTACATGATACTTAAAAATTTGCTGAATAAAACAGTGAACTAAGGCCTGACTATCCTGGAGGCCATCCCTTCCTTTGCTGCCCTCACAGGAGCTGCCTATTTTGTTACACTCAAAGTACAGAAGACTCAAGGGGAAATAGCTTTCTTCATTCCCCATACACCTTCCAGGCCACTGTTTCTCTTTCTTCTCACTGGTATTGGTATCTCAAAATGTTCAACATAGGAATGTTGAGGGAGGCAATCTGGTTAGAAAAGAGTGCCCAGGGAGCTTATCTGAAAGCTGTCTTTGTATTACAAAAAACAAACAAACAAACAAACAAAAAAAAACCTGTTGTTACTTGCATGCTTCTTCCTCCTGGCTTTGGGAGTAGGAAACAAAGGGACTCTATTGGTGAGCTTACCATCTAGACAGCTTCTGATGCTACCACTGACCTTCATGTGCAAAGCCCTGTGCCTTTGTTGCTTATGCTGTTCTCTGTATATCTTGCCCACCTGGGCACTTTCAGGTTCTTACCCATCTTAGACTCCATAGCCCATCACTTAATCCACTTCACTCTAATAGTCAAAAATCTGTCTTGTTTCCAGTATCCTGTCCTCCTTCTGAACACTCTCACCTATCCCTTAGACTAGTACAATCACGATACTTTACTTCTTTCATTCACTTGAAAGGTACCCTTGACTATAGGATTATGTTTAAATTTTCTAATGTGCCTTATACAGTCCCTTTCTAATCTGACTTCTGCCTTGCTCTTCAGGCACATTTCTCATGATTTCCCTACTTACTCTTTGTGCTTTAGCCATAATGAATTTCTTGCCATCCTAATATTACTGGTGTACTTGCCTCCTATTGCCTCCTGGCCTTTGACACACCCATATCTGGAATTCTAGGAGCCCATAATTCATCAAGAGGGACCATAGAGCAGTGTTACAGAGTTTGAAATCAGATAGAGACAGATTTGAATCCCAGCTGTCATTCACTTGCTTGAGGTCATATGGAATCTCTTTAACTTTTATGAACCTCCATGATCACATCTGCAAAGTGGGTAACAATACCCACCTTGACAGATTAGCTACAAGGACTGAATCAGGAATAGAATGAGCCCTAAAAATAATCCATACATGGCATGTCCTATCTCTTTTCTCTCAGTCCTTCCTTTCCTTTTGTCTTTTTCTCATCTTTGCATTCCAATTAATGTTTGAGTGGCATTCATAACATTCAGGGCCACAGAAAAGCAGTACAGCCACTCTGTGTATAACATCGGTGTCAGGAAACTGCTGCTCTTCCACAGGAAGCCCCCAGCCTCACTCCCACTGTGGCCATTTAGACAGTTCCAGAAAGACACCTAGAATAAACAATGAAGGCAACTTGTTGAAGATTCCACAATAAACAGGGTGTGTGCTGATTCTCTTAGACCTCTTAATGTTCTTCAGGCTGGGGCCATCATCATTCTAGTTGTTCTCAACCTCATGTCTGGTGCCCTCCTTCTCACACTTTCCTCCATATGTTTCTGTGCCTCTTGACTTCTCCATTGCATGCTAAGCTGTTCCAGGTGAACATCTCAACATCCACTGTGCCAGAACCCTTCCCAACACTCCCCCCAAAAAACAAAAAACAAAAAACAAAAAAACCACACCAAAAAAACAGATTTTTCCTCAAGGAGCTTCCAAACTGATCCTAATGGATAAGACTTAGGAAGCATTCAATAAAAAAGCAAGTTCCTACAAAATGTGGGAGCTGGACTGGCCTCAAATTGTCAATGGATGATCCTGAAAAAGGCACAGTTTGTGATGGATTCTATATGATTAACAGAATTTGAAGGGACCGAAATGAGAGGCCATCTTTGTACATAAGAATGGTTTCGATGTTATACAGCATGGCGGGATGCAGTGAACCTGTGAGGTGGGAGAATATAAAGAAGTTATAGGAATTATGACTGGAACATATTGCCTTTTCTCATGTATGGTTTTAATATTTCTTTTTGGAGAATGAGCATGATGGCTTAGAAAAATTGCCTGCATAGCATATTTTTAAGCAGAGTTTCCCAAAGTGCTTCTGTGGAAAACTAGACTCATGAAATGTCCTCTAGAAAAATAATAGTAATAACCTAAAGATGTATTGAATAATTTCTCCTACCTTGAATATTCACAATGCACATTCTTTTGGGAGGTCTGAAATAGTTTTATAATACAAAAACCGGACTTCCCTAGAAAAAGCAGGCATCACATATCTATGTCATTAAAATACACACTCTTTCTCCTCAAAACATTTTTAGAGACTATGGCTATTTTGTATACTTAGTTTTAATATTTTATTGACTGCTTTCCACTATAGGATATTCTCCATGAGGATAACACCTTACCTATCTTAGTTACCTTCACATCAAGAGTTTAGCGTGATGCCTGTGCATACAAAAGGTGCTCTCAATAAGAAAAACAATGAATACAACTTGTTCAGCTTTGTGTAACATTGCATTGTCCAAGCAGCTGACAAAGGGTAGGGCTGGAATTTGAAGAGTGCTGCCAGATTCATTCCCCATATACCTTAGTGAGGACAGGTGGTGTGAGCTGTTGCCCTGATCACCACCTAGGATCTTGAAGTTACAGTTTTCCTTGGACATTTATTTCTGCTTATTCCCTTTTAAAGCTAGAATGATTGTCTGAAATGCTCAAATTTCTTTCTTTGTATCTTTCAGGCAAAGGCTGCCACCTAAAAATGTTTACTACTACCGTTGCCCGGACCATAGGAAGAATTATGTGATGTCCTTTGCATTTTGTTTTGACCGAGAAGAAGATATTTACCAATTTGCCTACTGCTACCCGTATACATACACCCGCTTTCAGCATTACCTTGACAGCCTGCAGAAGAGAAACATGGATTATTTCTTTCGGGAGCAGCTGGGCCAGAGTGTGGTAAGTAAGGCCCATTCAGAAAACAGGCAGCTGTGGGGAGAACATGCAGTGCGTTTTCATAGAATGCAAATAATGGGTACTGGTGCTCTGTAGACTGTGCTTTGGAACTTTTAAAAATTGTTGTTTATAATGTGTAATCCATTGATACAATATGCCCACCAGGAAGCTACAGAATAAGGTATAAGACAGATGCTCATCCTTTTGAATGAAGCCTATAAAGGTCTCTAACAAAATACAGAAGTTTTGCTAATTTCCAGAAACTCTGAGTAAAAGAAAAAGCTTCTACTGGGTGACACAAAGGGCATGAAAGCATTTTATGATTGTGATTTATTTTTCAGTGAATTTAGTTCCCACAGTGCAGGTAACTAAATGGTAACTAAATTCAAGTGGTACACAGTTTGGACATGCTGCCTGCAGGTTGTTCTGACTCTGCCGTCCGTCAGTTCCCAGCTCCTCTTTCTTCCCCTGGCGTAGTTTCTGGATCTGGATATTTCAGTCTTGCACTCTATATCAGTTTCTGTTGCCGCTGTAACAAGTTGCCATAAACTTTGTGGCTTAAAACAACACAAATTTATTATCTTACAGTTTAGAAGTCTGAACTTGGTCTCACTGGCCTAAAATCAGAATATCTGCAGGTCTGCATTCCTTCTACAGGCTCTTGGGGAGAACTCATTTTCCTGCCTTTTCTAACTCAAAGAAAAGGGGTGGGGAATGTATTCTCTGGGCTGTATTAGGCCCACAAAATCATTTGGTCTGGCCCTGCCAAGGCAACCACAGGAGGGACTCAAAATTAAAAATGTAGGAGCTTTTTACATAGCGACATAAATTTATATTAAGTTAATTATATTGAACAAAGGATGCGATAAATATCCAAATGGCCCTTGGCAGAACAAAGGTTCCCTACCCCTGTTCTAGAGGCTGCTTGCATTCCTTGGCTTGTGGTTCCCTTCCATCTTCTAGGCTAGCAATGGTAACTTGAGTCTTTCTCATGCTGCATCTGACAATGAATTCCCTGTTTCACTCCTTCACTTCTAAGGGCCCTTGTTATTTCTGTTAGGCTCACCCACATAATCCGGAATAATATGTCCATCTCAGGATCTTTAACTTAATCATGTTATGAAGTCCCTTTTTTTCATGTAAGATAACATATTCAGAGGTTCTAGGGATTAAGATTTGGACATTTTTGGAGGGGGTTGCATTGTTCTGTCTATCACACCTTCCTCCTCTCCTTTCCTCTTTTCCTCCCTGAACAATCTAGGGAAGACCTGCAGATAGTCTGAAATTGTTCTTCACATTGGATGTATAGTTTTTAGTCTCTGTAATCAGCAATACTTTGATTATCAATAAAGAATAAGAAATGATAATTTGGTTTTACATTTCACTCTTCAACAAATGTGGATTGTGCTTCTGAAATAGGTATATTGAGCACTTTAAAGATCCTTAATGAAGATACTGGTGGAATTGGCAGAAAATACTATACTTGAGTTTCTGATATGTATTGGTGGAAAAATGTACTTTGCCCAGTGACTGTGGGTTCCACCTAGAAATGGGTTCCACTTCTAAAGAAAAGATTTCAAGACTAGACTGCTTGCAAAACATAGTGTCTGGTCCAGAATACCCCCTTAAAAAATAGATACATAAAGAGGACTGTACGTGGCTCAGTCCTGAGAGCCAAATCTTGTATCAAAAGTTAAGTGATCATGATGCTATTCTTATAGTCTGAAATTCTCTATGCACTGAATTTTGCTAAATATATTCCCTTTACTCTAACACCCTTCTTAAGGAAGATTCTGATGGGTGTTGTGTGTCTAGTGCTTATATATTTTGAACTGAAAGTTGGGACACATGTTGTATCAGCCAGCCTGCTAGCAGGAAACAGATGGCAGCCTCACATTAGGATCATTTGTGTAGGGCTTAATAAATGGGCTATTTACAAGGTGTGGGCAGTGTGTGGGAAACCACAGCATATAGGTAGTGCCATTCCCTGGAGCTAGTAATAGCTTCAAGGGTGTGAAGGGAATGAGTGGTTACCATAATCCAATAGTAAAGCGTGGGCCACCTTGAGTGGCAGAGTGACCTTCAGTTGAGGAACAAAGTTGGCCTGAAATGACCCCACGGGGAGGAAGCTGAGAAAAATAAATACATAGAGCTCATTCTCTTCCCTCTGATCTCTTTCCAGAGATTCTTATTGACAAACCCAACCAGAAATCAGAGGCAAGAGAGCCTATAGATACAGATAAACCTCCCTGGGCAAAGAAAAGAGTGGATAAGGGCCGAGAATGGATGTAGAGAGGCAACTGGAATATATTAAGCACAAATGATCTGATCAACAGAATGTTACTGGAAACAGTGAAATTATTTGAGATGGGACTGCCAGAGAAATTCTGAGATGAATGTTTGCCAGTCATATGAACTATGATATGAATTCAGAGAGTGAGAAGTGCATCCAGTGCCCATGACTTTTAAGCACAGTGTCTGTACATTTAATTCTCGTCTCCACCATAGTCTCCTTTTAGATTTATGCTAGGCAGAATGTCCATGAACTTTGAATGGCTATTGAGTGAATTCTTGAATGAATGAAAAAGTGGCTTAAGATATATGCCTAGAGGCAATGTGAAGAGCTAAGAGCATCAAAGCATTGATAGGAGGGATAATAGAATTAGTTAAGCTGCCAATAATATTCAAATATACATCTAAGATAACAGCAACATAAATAAGATAGAAGTTTATTTTTCTCCCATGTAAAAGTCTACATGTAGGCAGTCCAGAAGTGGTATTATGGCTCTGTTTTTGCTCCTTGAAAGCCTTAAAGTGTTGGGTTCTTTCAGCTTTCTGCTCTGCCATCTCTGGGTCATGGCCCTCAATCTCATGATTCACTTGGAATTGTACCATCACGTCCATGTTCCAGGCAGCAAAGATGAAGGGGTTAGAGGGAGAAAAGAGAAGATACAGTTAAGTAACATTTTTATTTTTATCCACATTTAGCTAAAGGGAGGATGAGAAATGAAGTTTTCATTCTGGGTGACCATGTTTTCAGCTAAAAGCTGTAGTCCTAAAGATGTGGAGAAATAATGTTAAAGGATAGCCTTGGTCTCTGCCTCTGGAGACCTGAATTCTGCTTCCATCTCTAATACCAAAGTATTCATATGACCTTGAATATTACTTCTCCTATCTGAGGACAAGATTTTTATCTATAAAATGAAAAAGGTTGACTTTAATAGGTGTTTTCAATTTATCTTTGATGAATACCTCAGTTGATAAAACAAATACATTGAGATACCTGTCCTACTTCAGAGCCTGTGAAAGTTAATGTGGGGATATATAATATAATGAGGCATACAAGTCTTGGTGTACTTCTAGAAATGCATTCTATACCAAAGGAAATAAGACATGTTCAAACAGATATAATATTTTTAAAGTATATATTATAATTAAGGATCCTATGAGTTGTTTAAAGATTTAATGGTCAGCCCAGTAGTGTGGCTCATAGTTGAGCATTGACCTATGAAGTAGAACAGTGGTTGGCAAACTCATTAGTCCACAGAGCCAAATATCAAAAGTACAATGATAGAAATTTATTTGAGAGCCAAATTTTTTAAACTTAAACTTCTTCTAACACCACTTCTTCAAAATAGACTCACCCAGGCTGTGATGTTTTGTGGAAGAGCCACACTTAAGGGGCCAAAGAGTCGCATGTGGTTCATGAGCCGCAGTTTGCTGACCACAGAAGTAGGAGGTCACAGTTCAATTCCCAGTCAGGGCATATGCCTGGGTTTCGGGCTTGATCCCCAGTATGGGGCATGCTGGAGGCAGCCAATCAATTATTCTCATCATTGATATTTCTCTCTCTCTCTCTGTTTCCCTTTCTTCTCTGAAAAAAATCCTATATAATAAAAGCATAATATGCTAAGTGTCCAACCAGTCACTATGATGCACACTGACCCTGAGGGGGCAGACACTCTGACTGACTGGTAGGTTAGCTTGCTGCTGGGATCCAGCTGATAATCAGGACTGGGCGAGAGGGCCAGACACACCCTGGAACCCTCCCATAGACCCTCCCCTATATGGCCTGGACTGGGCGAGAAGATCCTGATTAGCCCCAATTGCTGACCAAGCCAAGGAACCCCACCTGTGCACAAATTGTGCACCAGGTCTCTAGTAAAAATATACTTAAATGAAGAGTCAGTGGCCAGACTAAACATCATGGAAAAGATGGGCTTTAACCTGAATCTTGAAAGATGATAGGATTACTGAATACAGTAGAGGAGGAGGTAGCCAGAAAGCAGGAAGAAGCCTGAATCACTGCATGGTGCTAGTTGGTTAGAAGTCTGAGTTGATTAGAATAGGGAATCTTCTGACTGGAAGATTATGATAGACAGGAAGTTTGGGGCCAAACTCTGGAAAGCCTTAACATATCAAGGAATTGTGGCTATATCCTTTATTCAGATTCAACATATAAATATAAAGTGCCTATGCATCAGACACTTTATACATACTATTCCTCTTATTTCTCACAATAGTTTTATGGAGAAGGCAGGATTGTCCCATTTGGGTGATTAAATAATCTAAGGCTAAAAAGTTAAGTTACCTGGCTAAAGCTGCAGGCTAGTTTACATCAGGGCCAAGATTTAAACAAATGGCCTTTAACAACAGGTCCTGGTGCTTTACTAGACCTACTGCTGCTTTCTAAGTTGGACCCACAATATATTGGGTCGGCAAGTAAGTAATTGCGGATTTTTTAAAGAAAATCAAAGACAATTTTTTCATGGAACTAAATAACTTTATTCTGTAATGTATTGCCCATTTTGATCAATGACCTTTTGCCATCTTTCAGGCAGCATCATAATCCCACGTTCAAAAAACTTCTGGTTTTTATTAGCAAAAAACTGAATCAGGTACGATTTGACATCATCATCATTATTGAAATTTTTACCATTCAAGGAGTTTTGTAAAGATCAAAAGAAAAAGTAATCAGATAGTGCAAGGTCAGGACTATATGG